GAGAAGAGCAATGAGCAGGTGGAAGACGAGGAAGACGAGGCGGAGAACGAGGAGGAGGAGGACGGTCAGGAGCAGGGGGCGGAGGGGATGCTTCTCGGGGTCTCTTCGGAGCGCTTTCGGGGGCCTCTAGTGACTCTAGTGCCCAGTGTGGGGGCTTTTTGGGAGACTCTTCGGGGGCCCCTGGGGAGCCTCTTGGGGGCATCCAGGGGAGTCCTGGGGCCCCGCAGGGGGCGTCTTGGAGGCATCTTGGGGTCTCCTGGGAGCTTCTCTGGGGCGAGGGCTCGAGATGTCCGTTCGGGTCCCCCGTCTGGTCGCCCCCTGGGAGTCGTCTTGGGTGCCTCTTGGCCTGTCTTTGAGGCGTCGCGGGCCTTCTTTGGGCCCTCTTGGGCCATGTTGGAATCTCTTGGAGGACTTTAGGCCGTCTTGGGGCGATCTTGAGGGCCTCTGGGCCGTCGTGGAGCGTCGGGAAGCGGAAAAAGCGAGAACGCCGAAATCCTTCAACCACCTAAGGATAATTTCAGAATTTTGCCTCGGGGGGCTTTCTTGGGAGCGCTCCTGGAGGCCTCTTGGGGAGTCTTGCAGGCCTCGTGGGCCTTCAGGAGGCCGTGAAGGCGTCTTGGACAGATCGCTCGGCGAGTCGGGGCCCTCTTGGACCGTCTCGGGGACCGCCCCTTCGGGCACTCTTGGTCCGTCCCCGGGAACCCCTGGGAGGGGTGCGTATCTGGGTCGACCCCTCCTGGGACCGAGGCGCACCTCCCCCGGGACGCCCCCCCTCCCCCACGGGGGAGGAGGTATCAAAGGGAGGGGGGGCCTCCCGGGGCTTTCTCGGGGCCCGACCCCCCGGGAGGGAGGCCCATCTGGGCGGCGGCTGCCCGCGGGACCGAGGCGCAGCTCCCCCGGGCCCCCCCGGCCCTGCAGAATCCCCCCCCCCCTCCCCCAACGGGGGAGGGGGATCAAAGGGAGAGCGGTTGACTCACGACGTTATAGTCAGGTTTCGCTTCGGCTGGCGCGCTCGGGGAAGAGGGTCCAGGAGAAGGGGGGGGGCGGCGACGGGCCCCAGGGAAGCGGGGGCCGCAGGGATGGGTGCTGGCAGAGGCGGCGACGAACGGATGACGCAGAGGACGACTCGAATGGACAAGCCCCTGACACACGCCGACAGGATCGGCGGATTTCCGCGCCAAAACACCATTCGCATGATTTCAAGGCCACGAATTAACCTGACTGTTACGTCTTGGCGATCCTCAATCGTGTCAGAACACCGTTTCTGGGATTTCAACACCGCGAATCAATGTAACTGCGGTGCCCTGACAATCCTTAACCGTTCCGAAACACCATGTCTGATACCGTAACCATGGGAATTAGTAAACTCTTGCACATGGTTGAAACGAATGTGCGCGGCGCTAAGGCGAGAGCCACATTTTGAGCATGAACCGCCCTCATTCCGTGAATCTCTTGCAACTGTTAACAACACATGTGCGCGGCGCTCAGGCGAGAGTCACATTTTGAAAACGACCCGCCCCAAACCCGTGAAAGACCTGCAAATGGTGAGCACGAACTTGCGCGGCGCTAGAGCGAGAGCACATTTTGAAAACCACCCGCCCTCAATCCGTGAAGCTCTTGCGCATGTGTAAACCGAACGTGCGCGGCGCTAAAGCGAGAGCCACATTTTGAAAACCACCCGCCCTCAATCTGTGAAGCTCTTGCGCATGTGTAAACCGAACGTGCGCGGCGCTAGAGCGAGAGCCACATTTTGAAAAGGAACCGCCCTCACTCCTTGAAGCTCTTGCAGCTGTTCAAGGCGAATGTGCGCGGCGCTACGGCGATGGCCACATGCTGGAAACGACCCGCCCTCCGTCCGTGAAAATTCCTGCAGCTGCCTACGACGAGTGTGCGCGGCGCTACGGCGAGAGCCACATTTTGAAAACGGCCCGCCCTCCATTTATGAAGCCGTTTTCGATGTTTCTGGTGAGGAATTCTTTGGCGAGGAGTAATCTCCATGAGGGTGAGGAGGGGGAGGAGGAGGAGGAGGAGGAGGAGGAGGAGGAGGAGGAGGAGGAGGAGAGGAGGAGGAGGAGGCGGAGAGGAGGAGGAGAGAGGAGGGGGAGGAGGAGGAGGAGGAGGAGAAGGAGGGAGGAGGGGAAGCACGACGAGGAGGACTCGAGGGTCGTGAGTGGTGAGGAATTCTCTGGCCAAGCGCTGGGCCCGCCCGCTCGACCGGCCTCGGGGTGCGACAGGGAGGAGTGATCTGTAAGGACAGAGGAATGGAGGAGGAGGAGGAGGAGGAGGAGGAGGAGGAGGAGGAGGAGGAGGAGGAGGAGCCGAGGCCTTGCTTGCAACGGCTTTCGGTTGCTCTCGGATGTTCCCCAGGGGTTCAAGATGTGTACAGGTGTTGTCTCATCCTACTCTTTCGCCCCCCTCCATCGTCCAGGCCTTCCAAGGGCTGTTCAGGTTTCCCGTTCACCATTCAGCAGACTCTCTCTCTCTATATACCTGGCGGCTGAATTCGGATGGGCTTGAGTTTGCAAGAGCTTTGTGGCTCCAGACACGCGGCTGTAGGGCTGTGGAGACGCGGCTGGAATTTGCGTGCACCGTCTGGTTCTTGACAGCGGCCGCACAGAGCGCAATGTTTCTGCCAGCGCGTGCAGGCAGTATCATCGTAGGGGGATACGAAGGGCAGCGCGTCTTCTGGCAACAGAAAGCCGTGCGCGCTGCCAGCACGTGTTAGCCTGTATCATGTAATCGAGGCCGTAATGCTGGCTTGCAGCGACGCGAGACCGTGCCGTTGTCATCACGCACACGCGTAGGCCCTTTTTTTACATTTATTTTATATTTATTTTTGCAAGGCGGCCTTTTTGGAATTGCCAAGGGGTCGTGCGAGTCGGGGGAGGAAAGCGGGTCACGGGGTGGGGGTGGGGCGTCGGTATCCGGAGGCATGTCGGAGGTCTTTGGAGGCCCTTGCTTGGGGGTCTCAGGAGGCCCTCGAAGTTTCCCAGGAGCCTCCGCAGGTCACCGTGGGACCCTGTTGGTCTGGCTCCGGAGGGCTCCGGAGAAGAGGGGGCGAAGGGGGGGGTAGAGGAGGAAGCCTGTCGAGCGGCGTGGGGTCTTCCGCCCGGTTCTCGACAGCGTGCCCAAGAGCACCCGGCACAGCTTGGAAACGATCCACCCGCCATGTGGGCCAGGAGCGGCCCGCCCTCGAGTGCGTGCCCGTGCTGGGTGCTTTTGCCCACGGCGCGGGCGCGAGCGCTGCATGTGTGGAGAGCGGCCCGCCCTCCATCCGTGCAGGTGGGGGAGCGCGTCGTGTCACATGGAGTGAGGGCGGCCCAGGCGAAGCGCCTGTCCTGCCCAGTCGACACGCCTGGTGGTTATAAGGGAGGAGGAAGGGTGATGAATGCATACCGTAGATACATGTGTGTCCGCATGGTACTCCAGATTTCGTAATAAAGGGAGGGGGGTCTTATTTTTTGGGGGGGGTCTCTTCCAGGCTATCTTGGAGGGCCTGGGGGGTCTGGGGACGATGTTTTGGAGGGTTCTCCCACGGGGGAGGTCTGAAATGGCTTGTCTTGGAGGGTCCAGACCCTTTCGTTTTTATTACGAAATCTGGAGTATATTCCCCAGTCAGAGCTTGCCTCTGGAGGGGTCTCAGCGGATTCGTATGGTTAAGGTTCGGTTTGTCGCCGATTCTCGCTGCACGCCCGGGTGCCCGGGGGTGCCCGGGGCCCCGGGGGTGCCCGGGGGTGCCCGGGGGTGCCCGGGTGCCCGGGTGCCCGGGCGTGCCCGGGGGTGCCCGGGGGTGCCCGGGGATGCCTTATAGCCCTAAGCCCTATAGCCCTATAGCCCTATAATATAGCCCAATAGCCCAATGGCCCTATAGCCCTACAACTCTATAGCCCTATAGCCCTGTAGCTCAATAGCCCTATAGCCCCCTAGCCCTATAGCCCTGATTGGGATTTTCTCCGGTATCATACTGGTCTACCTCGGCGGGAAGACGTCGGGGTGGATGGAGGAGGAGGAGGAGGAGGAGGAGGAGGAGGAGGAGGAGGAGGAGGAGGCAGGAGGAGGAGGAGGAGGAGGAGGAGGAAATGGGAGGCGGAAGACGATAACGGGGTGGAGGAGAACGAGGAGGACCCAAGGTGGGGGAGGAGGAGGAGTTTTTACAAGAGTGATGCCTGGCGGAGCTTTCCAAAAAGGGAAGACGGTTCAACCTGACGTGTTGAAGCTTGGCATGCTGGCCCCCCACAAATGCTCCTCCAGGCTGACTCCACAAAGTTCGGTTGAGGTGATATTCGGGAGGTCCACGCGCATTTCGCGGATCGGTGCTGGAGCAGCAGCTCAGGGGCGGCCTGCCACCGACCCTTGGCAAACCGTCCCCCTCCGTGACGTGCCCCACAAGGCGTGCGTGTGTGTGTGTGTGTGTGTGTGTGTGTGTATGTGTGTGTGTGTGTGTGTGTATGTGTGTGTGTGTGTGAGTGTGAGTGTGTGTGTGTGGGGGGGGGGGGAGGAAGGAGGAGGGAGGAGGATGAAGGGGACGGCAGGAGGAGGCGGAGGAGGGAAGAGGTAGGCGGGAGAGGAGGAGGAGAAGGAGGAGGAGGGGAGGAGGAGGGAGGAGGAGGAGGGAAGCTCTTTTCTCTTGTTTTTTTTTTTGAGGCGGCAGGGTGGACGGTCACGAGGACAAACGTCTGCCAGAGGTCGGTCAGGCCGCGCCCGAGCAGCACGCACAGCGTTGACACGACCTGCTACCTGCTCGAGTTCGTCCGGGGGTGGCTTGGGGGTGGCTCCGCGCAGCCTGCTCGGTCGCAGCCTGCTGGGTCGCAGTGTCCGCCCCGTCCTGAAATATCTGTTTGGTTTACCCAGACTGTCCTTGGTTCTAACCTCCTGCCGCGAATCTGGAGGAGGAGGAGGAGGAGGAGGGAGGAGGAGGAGGAGGGAGGGGCAATATGGGGGAGAAGGAGGAGGGGGAGGAGGAGGAGGAGGAGGAGGAGGAGGAGGGGGAAGAGGAGGAAGAAGAAGGTAAGGATAAGGAGTAGGACGCGGATGTGGAGTGGTTTCTTTGCCCGTGGGCACCAGGCTCGGAGTGTACCGCCTTGCTCTTGACGGCGGATCCGTGCGCTGGGCACCGCGGATGTTACCACCGCCCCACCCGCTGCTTCTCTGTCTTCGTGCATCTGAATTCGGAGCACTCTTGCGCTGCGAGGTTCAAGGCCTTCGGCCCAGCGTCTGGACTTGCCAGACCTGGCCCTCCCTGCCGGCGCTCCTGCGCCGGAGCTCCAGGCCCAGACGGGGAGCTGGGCGAGCTGTCCAAGACACCTGGCCTCCTGGCTGCTCCGGCCAGGCTCCAGCCTGTCTGCCGGGGGTCGGGGGTCCGAAGGACCCAGACATCGGGCGTCTCGACAAAATCGGCACGGAGGCTTTTCGTCGTTTGCGGCCTCTCGGGGCCCTCGCCCCGGGACCGTCAGGAAACGGCTCGGGACGGAAAGCTGGTCCCGGGGAAGTGATCGAGAGGTCGGGGGCCCGTGCCTCGCAAAAAGTCGACACGTCGGATGCCTGGGGATGGCGGGGGTGAGTTCGGCACGGGGCGGGCCCCGGACCCGGGCAGAGCGCTCCTGCATGAGCCTTCTGGGATGCTCTCGCGCGGAGCGCTCCAGAGCGCCCTGGAACGGCCGCGGCGCCCTCTTTGATCCTCCAGGAACCGCCGGATGTCAGAGGTCCCCGATTTTCACACAGACACAATTAATCGTCGATTCCCGAGAAAATATGGGAAAATATGGGAAGTGGGGGGGAAGACAGAAACCCAGAAAATATAGGAACATGTGGGTCATCTTTTTATTTGTGTGTATTTACTTGTGTGTCCCATGGCCCCTTCAGATTTGTCCCGGTCCGATTTTGCCGGTCCGGCTTTGTCCTGGCACTGGCTTCGTCTCGTTGACGTTGTGAGAGTTACTGGAGGCAGCTGCATCCAGCTCCGCTGCGATGTTCCTCGATGCGTGGCAGCTCCCACCGCCTCAGGGCGCCCGAAGAGCGAACCACGTACAGCTGATTTGCTGCCCCCTGCTTCGGCTACCCCTCTCCTTTCGGCCCTCCTCCCCGGAGGCCCCAGGAGGTCTTTGGAGGTTTTTGCAGGTTTCAGTCCTTCGCATCCGCCGATCTGTTTTTCAGTGCCGTCCTAGAGGCTCCGACCCCTTCCCTGGGGCATTTTTTTCTGCGTAGGCATTTTGGATGGTCTCGGTGCCCCAAGAAAGGGCCCCAGAAGCCGAAGTCTACTAGGAAAAACAATTCGGATTGAAAATCACGTTACCCAAGGAAAGCACTCCAATAGCAGGTTTGACAACGGCCATGTGTACCTGAGTGCGCTACCTTGCTTTGAAGGGATCCTGGTTGGCCAGACCAAACATGTAGCCGCATTGAGGCGAGGGCCCGCTTCCTGAATCCATCGCGAGCCGGTCTCTGGCGAAACGGTTGCCAGACCTGTCGATCTAGGGCAGCAGTCCAGGGCCTCCCGGCCCCGCCTCTGTGGGACTCCCTGTGTTTTTTTGGTTACTTCTCTATCTAACCCTCTCCAAGACATGCCAGGTCCTGATTCTTTCAGTGCGGGGTCCCCGGAGGTCTCGACCCTTCTTCCAGGACCTGTTGTTCATCCAGAGCCGTCTCTCGATTCTCCCAGGTCACCGGCGAGGGCACCCAGAGGCCGAGAGGGGCCCAACACCTCCCGACGCCAAGTTTTCTTACCACAGGGAGAGGTCATGCCGTCGGAGACCTATCGGGGGAGCGTAAGACCAGGGTTTGCCAGGACTCGGGTTCGCCATCGTTTTTTGACGACGGCGCCTCGGATTTTGATGAGGAGGAGTTTCGTGGGATGTCTGCAGCGGGAGGCCTCGTCGAAATGCAGGCTCGGCCTCGTTATTTTTTTGACGACCTCGTCGGGGATTTCCGAGTCCCCTGTACCCAGGTCTTACGTCCCCCTGAACCTAGGGGGACCCCCCCCGGAGCCGCCCAGAGGCCCACGTCCGGGCACAGCAAGGAACCACAGCCTCCAGGAAGCGGCTTCTCCTGGAGGCCCCCGTCGGGGGAGAAGCCGCCGGCCTCGGCATGGAACACACTTTGGGCTGTGGCCGTGGTCGATATGGCCGTCGCCCGCGTCGACCACGACCAGCACTGAGCGGGTTTCGGGGCTCTGACGACTTGCTGGCATGCGCAAGACTTCAGTCGGGCCTGTCCCCCACAGGGGGACTTTCGACGAAAAATAAAGAATACCCCAAAATAATAAAAAATAGTCCAAAAATAGTCGGGGGACTATTTTTTGAGTATTTTTTGGCCTCATTGGGGTATTTTTGGGGGTATTTTTAAATTTGTCGTTGAAAATCCCCCTGTAGGGGGACACGTCCGACAGAACGGAAGACCTCTCGGGGTGCGTCCTCGGTGTGGCCGTGGTCGCGTGCCGCCCCCGCGCGCCGCGCAGGGTCGGAGACGCGTGTGGCAGAGAGAGAGCCTCGGCCCGCGCCGGGCACTCCGCGCCGGGCACTCGGACCGCCCTCCCACCCCGGCAGGGCTCCGCGCTGTCGCTGCACGCTGGCGAATTCGTGGTCCCCTCCCGCGCCGCGAGCTGTCGGCGGCGCGCAGACACCGGGGATGCGGGGCTCCGAACGGGATCGGGGCGGCCGGGCTCTGGGCTGTTCGAGGCCTCCTGGACGGGGTCGGAGCAGAGGGGGTCGGGGGATCGCGACGCGCCGCCGACGCATCGGCGATGCGGCGCGATGTGGAGCCCGATTTTCCTGACGCTGGTGTCGCCGACGTCGCCAGTGCATGGCCAACGTATCGCCGCGGCATCGGCCGTGCGGCGCGATCCTCCGACGCCATCCTACTCCGAGACCCCATCTCGGCGGCCTCGAGCTAGTTTCGTCCTCCGGAAGCCCTCAGCGGAACCCCGGACCCTCAACAATCTGCTCATAGGACGAAGAGCGGGCCCACTGTGGTGACCCTTCGCCTGAGGGACTTGGGTGTGTGCCCCCCGATCGGCCAGCGCAGCGCGATAGCAGCGGTCTGCGCGCTTGTGCTTGCCCCCCCCGCGGCCCTCAGCAAGCCGCGCTCCCGAGGTCACTCTTGCCCGGGGCCCCTTTTGTGCGTTGCCGACGGCGCTCCGCGCGCATCTCTCGGATCGACGCGGGGCCCCCACGGCGGCGCCTCCGGCGCCGCCCCTGGCGCACTCCGCGCGCGCAGCGAAGGGGGGTCCCCGCGCGGACCCAAGGCACCTGCGCGGACCTCCGAAAGCTGGTGTCTCTGTGCTGCTCTTGGCTTTTCCTGGGGAGGCCAGGCCTCCCGGGGCCTGCGCATCGGCAGCAGGTCGAGCGCTGGATGTCTCGATGGGCTTGTTTTCCACCACCACCATCAGAAGTTGGAGGGGGAAGGAGGAGGAGGAGGAGGAGGAGGAGGAGGAGGAGGAGGAGGAGGAGGAGCAGGAGGAGGAGGAGGAGGAGGAGGAGGAGGAGGAGGACCCCCTCCCCCTCCAACTCATGGTGGTGGTGGTGGTGGAAGACAGTCTCATCATGTCTGGGGCAGCAGGACGGCGCGCGCGGAGCAGGGGGCGGCCTTCCGAGGCCTGGGCGCCGCGACCTCTGCCTGCCGGGCGTCCTCGCCCGGGCCTTCTTGGGGGGGGCCTTGACCCAGACCCCCTCGCGTCGTGAAAAAATCACGACGGAAGGTTTTTCGCTATTTTTGCCCTCTGGAGGTCCTCACCGGGCCGCGGGAGCGTCAAAAAACGACTCAGGATGAAAAACCGGTCCTGGGGAAAGGGTCCAGACCTCTGGGGGTCGACGTCATGAAAAAATCACGACGTCGGGGGTCTGGGGAGAAGGGCCCGCCGCCGAGCGGGGCAGCTCTCGGAGGGTGCCTCGGCGTGACGGGTTGGGGGCCGGGGCCTCGGCCCCGAAGGAGATCGCGGCAGGAGGTGTCTGGCCATGCTCGGCCCCCGGGGGCGCCCCCACTGGGCGGAGCGAGGGCGAGGAGAAGTCCGTGCCGGAGCGCCCCGAGGAGGCCGCGGCGCTCTGGGGAGGCCGCGGCGCCCGAGACGGCCTCCAGGGCCGCTGGATCTCAGCGGTTTGCGACCCATCGTCGCCAGATGTTGTCCTCGTCCCAGCTTCAGAAGGACACGGGTCGGGGGGATGGCCTGGGAGAAATGATCAGATCGTTGGGCAAATCGCGTATGTGGAGTGGCCTCATAATACAGTCGCGCCCTGTATCCTTCCAACCCCGAGCAGTGGTGACGCGTCCTGGCTTGCCTACAGGCCCACCAAAGAGTGCTCTAAGAACCTCGTGTGGTTTGCACAAACTGTTCTTAGAGCATTCCTGGCCGGGACTCTCTTGTTCTAGCACCTCGGTCGCATGTTCTGAGAGCACTATTTGCCTTGTGATTCGAGCATGCTGAGGTCCTCCGGGTGCCAGGACGGTCGGCCCTTGCTCAGCAACAACCCTCCCTCCCAACGCGAGAGTGGTCTTCTTTTTGTCGCCGCCTCGTGCTGCCCCGCGGCGCCCCCGCAGGGGCCGGCCAGCAGAGCCGCCCGCGGGACGAGGGCCGGCCCCGGGGAAGTGGTCCAGAGGCCCCTGGGGAGCCGCGCGCCGAGGGTCGGCCACGCGCAGGGCGGGGGCCCAGAGGTCCAACGCATTGCAAGCATGACGACGGAGGTTTTTCTAAGGCTCTGGCCTCTGGGGGCCCTCGCTGGGCCCCGGGACCATCAAAAAACGGCTCGGGATGAAAAGCCGGTCACGGGGAAAGGGTCGAGGCTGCCGGGGGGGCCCGTATCGAACAAATCACGACATCGGATCTCTTGGGGGGGGTGGGGGGAGGGGGGAGGGCCTCTGAGAAGCACCCCTGCTTCTCAGAAGGCGCGGGCCTTATCTATAGTCAGGTCGGGCGTGTCCCCATGCAGGCGGATTTTGACGAAACATGAAATATACCCCACAAATATCAAAACATATTAAACAGCGTTAAAAAAGGATCCCCCGATCTTTTTTTCTTCTGAAATATTTTTGAATATTCCCCCTGTCGAGGGACAGGCCCGACTTCAATCTGTAGATGCAAGGCCGGCGCCTTTGCGAACCAGCCTCCTTCTAAGAAGCCTTCCCCCCTCCCCTCCACCCCCTTGTTCGCGCCGCCAAGGGAGGGACAGAGCACGGCGCCGGAAGCCGATGAGCCAGACGGAGGTTTCGCATCGTTTTCGGTCGAGGCCCGAGGTGCCGACCTGGCTCCTTAGGGCCCTGAGGCAGCAATTGCACGGCCGATTGGCCAGGTCCGCTGCAGAGCTCCGGCGGCTCTGGTGGCGCTCAAGTAGCTCCCTAGGAGGAGGAGGAGGAGGAGGAGGAGGAGGAGGAGGAGGAGGAGGAGGAGGCCGTGGAGAAGGAGGTGGCCGTGGAGGAGGGAGGGAGGAGGGGAGGACGGAAGGAGGAGGAGGAGGGAGGAGGAGGAGGAGGAGGAGGAGGAGGAGGAGGTGGCCGTGGAGGAGGAGGCGGACGAGGAGGAGGAGGAGGAGGTGGCCGTGGAGGAGGAGGAGGAGGAGGAGGAGGAGGAGGAGGAGGAGGAGAAGGAGGAGGAGGAAGAGGAGGAGGCGGTGGCCGTGGAGGAGGAGGAGGAGGTGGAGAAGGAGGAGGAGGAGGAGGATGCAGGAGGAGCCACGCTCAGAACGTTGTTTGTCTTCTTCTCACCCTGGATTCGTTCTCAGAGGCCTCCCTGCCCTTGGCAGGAGGCCACATGCCCTCCTGCAGTGAGCGCACCAGGGAAGAGGTTGGCCTTCCCTCGGGGGGCCCAGGGACGCGTCCTGCTCGCCGACGGCCATGGCAGCCCGTGGGTCACCCAACGATGCCGAGTGCTGATGGTGAACGTGGCCCTCGATCCAGGGCTCATGTTAGGTCGGGCCTGGCCTTCTGCAGGGGGAATGTTCCCAAAAAACAGTCGGGGGACGATTTCTGAGAATGTTCGAATCGTTTGAGAACATGTTTGGCGAATTTCTCAGTTTCCGTCCCAAACTCGCCTGTCGGGGGACATGCCCGACCGAAGGCTCATTTCGATTCCCCCGATTCGAGTCGAAACGCTCCCCCCCTCAGTGCGTCCCCGGCACTGCTGCAGTGCGTCCGGTACCACAGTCTGGGGGAGGGGGGAGCGCTGCTTTATGCCTCCTCCCGCCCCCCCACCCCCCATAAAGCTCGTTATGGCCGCGAATCAAGAATGCGCTCGAAATCTCCCAGTCCCAGTCTCAAAGCTCCCCCTCGAAATTGTTGACGCTTCGCGAATCCCCACCAGCCCCAGACTCCCTGGGTTGCAGCTTGCACGACCGCCTCAGGTGACTGACCTTTCAGACTCCCTGGGATTGCACGACCGCCTGGCCTCTCAGACGCCCTGGGTTACCGCTGCTTTGCCGCCTGATCCGCGGCCGCGCGCGCGCCCGGGAATTTAGTCGCGGCCGCAGCCCGACCGTGACTGCTCGCCGCCGGCGCTTCCGCCTGCGGCTGTAAAAAAAAATAACCCCCACCAGCCCATCCAGAAACGATGCCCAGAGGAATTGCCCCGATCAGGAAAGTGGGCAGCACAGAGAAAGCCATTATGAGACATCTTGGGATATCTTGAGCCATTTCGGAGGTCATCTTGGGCTCTCCCAGGCGCTCTTGGAGTCATCTTAATCAGTGCCCCCCCCAAGAGGCCAACATGTGGCCCAAACCTTCGTAAAATCAATGATTTGGCATTCTTGCCGAGGCCTCTTGGAGCATCTTGGGTGCCTCTGGGGGTTCTCTTGGGGCCTCTTGGGGGTCTCTTGGGAGCCTCTTGGGTGCATCCTGGGGGCCTGTTGGGGCTTCCTGGCCACCTCTTGGGGCCCTCTTGGGGCACCCCTGGGAGCCTTGGGGGCCATCTTTGGGCCATCTTGGGTGAGATCGATCACAGAAGGGGGTTACTAATTACAGCCCCCCCCCCCCCCAAGAGGCCAACATGGGGCCCAAACTTGAGTAAAACCAGTGATCCTGGCTTCCTTGCCGAGGCCGTTTTGGACGCCCTGACACCTCGCGAACCCCCCCGTCCAGGCCCAGGGGAGGGGGGTATGGGGGAGGGGCAAACCCCTCCCCGAAGGGGACGAAGCTGGGTTGGACGAGGAAACGCTCCAAACCACCGACGCCCCGAGGGCTGGTGGGAGCCAGGCCCCTCGGCAGCGGGAGGGCACTCGGGGATGCACTTCCCGCCGGCCGCTCGCACGCACCCCCTTATGTCGAGGGTGGGCGCCCGCCCTCGTACCGTCGGGGCCCCGAAGAAGGAACCCTTTCCGTTGGGGAGGGGCTCCGCGTTCCGTAGGTGTTTCGCAGCTTGCCCTGGCTTTTCCTTAGGTTTTCGATCGGAGACCGAAGGTCAACTTATGGAAAATAGGGACCTCGTTCCTTATGTAGGGTTCCTTAGGTCAACGCCCCAACTATACTTGCATCCCCGAGCTGGGCCCCCGCTGTCTGGTCCAGCCGACGGTACCAGAAGGTTTGGGATTGGGCTCGGCCACCTCCCCGTCTCGGGCCGCACGGAAGAGTTGGATCGGGAAAGGGTTACATCGGGCCTGTCCCTCTACAGGGGGAAGATTCAAACATAGTAGAAAACGTCTGGGGATTTATTTTACGGAACAAAGACTTATTGTTTGAATATGTTTTGGGCACTATCTATGTATATATATATATATATATATATATATATATTGAGGAGTAGTCGGAAATCCACCTGCAGGGGGACATGCTCGACCCAAGGAAAGGGGGGCGGGGGGGGGGCACGAAATCTGCTGCATGCAGCTGGTTTCCGCCCCGCCGCGGGGCCCACTCCTCGACACGTGGGCGCGCCGGGAGGCGCCGGGAGGCGCCCAGAGCACCCGCCGCGTGAGCTGAGCCTCTGCCCCGCCCTTTGCTGTGCTGCCCTTTCGTCCACCCCGACCGCTGCTCGGTGGCCTTCGGAGAAGAACAGCGCCATAGGCACAAACCTCTGGCGCTCCGCGCGGCTTGCTTGGATCTGCTCTGGGGCCCAAGAGCAAGCCGCGCGGAGAGCCACATTTCTTATGCTGATGGCGGCTTCCTGTGTCCAGTCCCGCAGCAGTATCTCTCAGCATACATAGCACGCAGTGCAGATCTGCGCTGGAGTTATTCTTGAACGCCTTGTCGCGGCGGGGTGCAGCAAGACCCGGACCCGGACCCCACAGTAAAGCCTCCGTTCAGACATCGATACGGGGCGTCATGTCGGACGCCTGGGTAGTGTTATGATGATCATGGGCGCATTGTGTTCGCAGGATCTATGATCGCGCGCCTGTGTGGGTGGAAGGCCGTCTCCCTCGCCCTTCCCCCCGGTGCTGCGCGCCGCCGGGGTTGGGCCTGGCGGCCTCAGGCCTCCCGCCCCCTGTAGCTTCTGGTCTTGCCAGAGCCGGTTCCCCGCTGTGCCGGACGCTGCGCGGCATTGGGACATTCTTCCATTTGCCGTTGCTCCTCCTCCTCCTCCTTCTCCTCCTGTTCCTCCTCCTCCTACTTTTTCCCCTCCTCCCATCCTCCTCCTCCTCCTCCTCCTCCTCCTTCCTTCCTCCTCCTCCTCCTCCTCCTCCTCCCCCCCCCCCCTCCTCCTCCTCCTCCTCCTCCTCCTCTCCTCCTCGTCCTCCGCCTGTCGCTCTCCCCTCTTCCTCTCCTCCGCCTCCTCTTCCTCCTCCCTCCTCCTCCTCCTCCTCTCCTCCTCCTGTTCCTCCTCCTCCTCCTTCTCCTCCGCCTCCTCCTCCGCCTCCCTCCTCCCCTCCTGTCCTCCTCCTCCTCCTCCTCCTCCTCCTCCTCCTCCTCCCCTCCGCCTCCTCCTCCTCCTCCTCCCCTCCTCCTCCTCCTCCTCCTCCTCCTCCTCCTCCCGCCGGAGCCATTTTGGCTCAAGGGGCCTGCTCCTGAACTTCACAGCCTCTCGAGGCGCCTGGTGGCCAGGCACCAAGGGCAGGCCGCGGCCGCGCCCCCTGGCCCTCGGCGGCCGTGCCACTCCTGCCCCTACCCTCTTTCCACCTCCAGCTATGGAGGTCGAGGCTGGGATTTATCCATATCCACTGCCTGGGGGATCGATCCTCGCGGACCTCCACAGGCGGTGGATATGGATATATTCGGGCCCTCGGGGGCCGAAATATATCCATACCTGCCACCCGCTGGGGCACCACGACGTCGGTTCCCAGGCGGTGGATATGGATAAATCCCTGCCTCGCATGGACCGCATGGAGGCCATGCGGAGTGAAGTTCTTTGGACAGGGAAATTTCCGATTCCCACCAGTCCTGTGGGGAGCGACGGGAGTGACGGCCGTTCCGTCAGCCCGCCATCTCCAGGTACGACGTCGGCGGGCACGAGCATGCTGGCCGCCCTGAAGGACCCGATCCAACAACTCTCTCTCACTTGGGCCGTGGAATCACTGATATTAGCCGACGTATTCCAGGAATCCAGGGCCAGATGTTGCAGGGTGAGAAGAGTTGTCGGAGTTTGCAGAACGCTCATGCACATCTCGCAAAACAGACTATGGACAGTTCCGTATCTTCGTGCTGTCCAGGAAGAGGCTATCTTGCAGGCCTTGCAGGATCGTGGGAATGTTGTGAAGGAGATGAGGATAGGGGGTGATGGGTGTCATTGAAACGATGGAGGAGGAGCTAGCGGTGGTGACGGAAGCACTGACCGGAGGCACGCGCACCCCTTATCGCTGGAACGGCAACCCCTGATGACGACCGCGGCGACGGTGAGCACTTAGGGCGGCAGGTTCGGCGCCGCATCGGATTAGGTGATGTCGGCAACCCTTCTCGTCTGGTGGTCCTGGCATTCCGTTGCCTTACTACCTTGCGTCGGGCTGTTTCCCCTATCGTGAACAGCTGTGCGTTGGACAGTGATTTCCCGAACTTCCAGGGTGAGACTTTCACGACTGTAGTAAGAAGGTCTTTACCGTTTTCACGATCACTCTGGTGGCTTCGACGTTCCATGCGAAGTGTATGGCTGAGGGGCCGCATACCTTCCCTGATCCAGAGGGCGGAATGGACATTGACCTCCGCGCCCGCCGTGACCCCCTCAGTTGTCTCGCAAGTTGTTCTACCACTACCATTTCGGGAATATGAGGCAGGCAGTGGCGCAGATCTTCGGGCATGGGCGTGTCCTTTCCACGGGGCCCGGGGGTGCGATCTACGTGATCGTGGGTGCCATCCTGTTCCTGTCGTGAAGATTTCGATTGTCGATCGTAGCTCTTCGGCTGGCTGTGTGAACTGATGGTGGACAAAGCTGGTTCGGCCGAGATCGAGGGGAAATCGCATGCGCCTTGCTTGCACGCCCGCTTCTCGGATATTGGTTTTTTTGGTTTATTATTATTGTTTATTTTGTGTTAAAGAGTGCAACAGCTGCCCGGGAGAAGAGGGTCCCGAGTGGAGTAGTTATGAGGCTATTTTGTCGAGTTGACAGCAGTGGTCGCTGTAATTCAGTTGACGCAGCTTCACAAATTTCTCCCCCGCTTGCTAGGGTTGCTGGCGGAGTCTATCGTCCTTCTACCCCGCTCACGCTCTGTGCGTGGAATTATCGTGCTCTCTTTTCCTCCCTCTCTTCGCCTTCTCTCACGGCGAGCTCAAGATTTCCGCGGGCGAAAAGGTTGCCGGAGAGGTATCAGATTGCATGTTCCCAGGGAGCACATGGGTCCAGGGCAGACTTGGCTATGTTAGCCGGCGAGAGGCGCACATGTAAGCTTATGGCAGTTTCATGGAGGATAGGGTAGCTGGGGCGTTGCCACATTTGTTTATGAATCTCTTGTTGCATTGTTCCCGCGCGCGGTTCATGTGGAGGTGGTCGAGGGGGAGGGGGTGCTCATGCTCCGGGGCCCAGGGCTTGGATAGGGACCTGGCGATTGTGAGCGTTCATTTGCCTAAAACATGTGATCACATTAGCGTGTGTAAGCTTTGAGAAGGTTCTGGATGTGCGGCCCCTGCAGCTCGCAGTTTGGCTATGGTGGCTGGTGTCTTGCCGGGTGTGAGTTCGGCCTTCGGAACAGGATGCGCTGTGGCGCATTTCAATGACAGTGTGGTTCCTGGTGTGAAACGCGTCGACCTGGGCCCAGATGCAGGAGCAGTTCGCAATGAGATTCGGGGCTTCTCGCGGCTTATCAGAGCTCCTATAGCGCCCCCATCGGATATTGTGAATGAGTTCGGGGTCTCTGCTTGTGCTTTGGGGGCCCTGAGCTACGAGGGGGGGCTTCTTCGGGCTATGTCCCTGTTGCTGTGGCGATCGCCTGCCCCGAACCTGGAGGCGCGTTCTCGGTGCCGAGTTGGATTTGTCAACGCGCGGTTTACATGCGGATAGATTCGGAACATCCAAGGGGAATGGCCCTTCGAGAGGACCTCTCAGAGCGCATTCGAGGGGTGAGAGCTCTTTTTTTGGCATGGTGGCGGCTGGTTATCGGCAATCTGCGGAGTATCGGCAAGCGTCGGATGATGCTGAGCGCCTCCATTTGGCGTTCGTGGCGCGCCGCGGGTGGAAGGGGGCAGCAGTGGTATCTTGTCGTTCGTGCGCTCTGATGCCGTGGTGTCCTTTCTATTTGTGGTGTTGGCCGTGACGTCTGCGCGGGCCCCGGCGGCCTGCGCCCACTCTTCGTTGCTTTGAAGAACAGATGGCGTTAGGATTGGTTGGGCGAGGTGGGCCAGAGCAGGGAGTCTGATGAGGTGAAGAAGGCGAAGAAATGGCGGTTGGCTCTTAAGAGGGGGCGGGCTCTCATGAGACGTCGGATCGGACTTTTGGGGGGGGGGGGGGGGGGGCGGCGGTGGGCGAGCATGGCCTACCTTGCCCGAGCCCCGGCGCAGCGCCCCGCGCGTCGGCCTCCCACTGGGGAAGAGTTTTGCTGATGCGCCTCGTGATGGGCGACGCTAGTCTGCGATCCTGTCCCACGTGCAGTCGGCTGGCCAACTGACGCGCGAACTGCTCTGGCTCCTTGGTCAGGGCGAGTTTGAAAATCGCATTCGATTCGAGCGGCATTCTGCCCCTGGGCCCGATGGTCCACTGCATGGATGTCGGAGTTGGGCTGTTCTTCAAGCTTATGATGTGTTTTTTGGCGTATGAGAGGCTGTTCGCGAGAGTGGGGGCGACGCGCTTCCTGGGGGCTGTAGTTCCCGCGGGATGCTGTTCTTCCGAAGGGGAAGTGGCCCGCGGATCAAGGTGCGTTTGTCTCGGGGCTGCCAAAATCAACCCGGCCCATTTCCCCCTCATGGGCGGGCGCTAAGATCCTCGCGGGCGCTCGCTGCGCCGGGCCGAGTGACGCCTCGCCCCGGGCGGTCATGGGGCAGCAGCGAGGGCGCGCTAGAGGCCGCGACATCCTGGGTGATGCGGTTGAGGTGGAGAGGTGGGGGCTCTTCCAGTTTATGCGTGGGCTCGATCGAGCTCGTATCTTGTGCGCCGATGTTCGGGCGGCGTTCCCGTCGATTCTCTCGGCGTGGACTGCCCAGGTTCGCAGGGCTATGGGCGCCCCGCGGAAGATTCTTGGGGTCTATCTGTCTGCGTGCCTCCGCAACGCTGCAGGGGCTAACTTCGCGGGGGCTGCTGGTAGTAGCTTCCCAGTGGTGCGTGGTGTAGGGCAGGGGGGTCCGTCGTCGATGACTCGCCTCCCCGTTGCTATAGGCCCGTTCCTGAGGTGCATCAAGTATCTACGCGCTCCTGGGGTTGACTTGGAACTTGCATATGCTGATGACTGCTGCTTTTGGCTGCAGGATACCCCTGTCGATATGATGCCCGCGCTTCTCTTGTTGGGCTAGCTCTCCCCTGCAATCGGTCTCTCGCTGAATGTTCGCGAGTGCCGCGCGCTCGCCAGCGCGGCATTGTCTCGCGCGCGTCTCTCCGAGCGCGCAGGGGGGAAGGGGGGTCGGCTCCGCGCGATCAAATAGGATACCGACGCGTTATGCCTCGGATTCTGGGTCGGCCGACGGCTCGCGCAGTGCGCGGCAGGTGGGCGCGATTAAATTCCGGCGCGGGTGCGTCTCGGCTTCGCAAAATCGCCTTCAACTGCTTCCTATCACTCCAGACAGAGGTGGCTGGACAACATCGGGGGGTCGCGCAGATATTGACGGCGGGGCCTAGGCGCGCGCTGAAAGATCTCGTGCTTGCGCGGCTTCGTGGCCCTGGGATTTCTTTTGGATTTTCGGACTTGAGACTGTTGCCAGGGGCTACTCAGTATCGTGTCTTGAGCAAATGTATGGCGTTTTGTCTGGCTTTGTCTGATCTAGAGTTGCTTGTTAATGGTGAGTGCCCTGAGAAGGTCTGCCTCGGCCGGCGACAACTCCCCTGGTGGAGGAACTTGATGACTGGATGCGCCAGCGCGGATGCTGCTGACATTCTCTCGCCCGGCCTCAAGCGGATGGGCGGAGGGGGCCCGGTGTGGGGCGCGCGTGTCTCCGAGGGCTTCGAGCGCCGATGTCCCCGCTGCTCCATCTGCTGCTTTGCATCGGACGCTGGCTCATGGTAGTTGAGATGCTTGTGGTATTTCGCCTTCGGTCATGGCGCAGGGATCTCGAAAAGGCCGCGTGCAACCGTCTTTCCACTGGCCTTCTCAGGGCCCTTTCTAGGGGGGGGGGGGCTTGCACTTCGGCCAGGTTTCATTGCGCGGGCCGAGGGTTTTGTGTCCGACGTGGGGGGCCTGATTACCTTCGCCGCTACTAGCTCTGCCTTGTGTTCACGTCTTTCGCCATCCCTTGGGTCCCAGGCGTTCGGAACCTGCCAGGGCGATGGAGGGTGCTTCTGTTCGACTACGAGTCGCGGTTCTCGACCTTTTGGGAAGCGCGCGGGGGCTTGATCGCGACGTCGCTGCAGGAGCCTTTCTTGATGTACGTCTGAAGACCCGTGCCCACCGCCGCCTTCGCACTGCCCCCCATCCGCAAGAGGTATTTCTCGCTCGGCTGAGTATGTTGGCCCAGCGAGGTAGGAAAGTTGCCTCTGTTGTCCGCGAGCGATCCCGACCCTGGGCCCCGCATGTCTTGGTTTTTCTTCGTCTTTTTAAGTCTTGGACCCTGCTTTAAGTCCGTCTCCTTCCCTGCCCCTGCTGCTGCTTCTGTTGCTGCTGGCGTCGCTGGTGCTGCTGCTGTGCGCCTTCTCCTGCGTGTCCCGTTGCTGCTGCCCCGTGGTGCCGCTGCCGTTGCTTGACGTAGGGCGCTGTAGGGCTGGGCCTTTTCTAGCTCGGGTTTGGGTGTTGAGGGAGCGAGCGGCGGTGCGCGCGAACGCGGCCGTCCCCCCCCCGCCCCCCTGTGCCCCTCCGCCGCGCCCGCCCCGTGCCTGACGACGAAGCGCCCTGCGTGCCTCTGTCGGCGGACAGGATCAGCGTGGCAACTGGGCCCCGTCCGCGGGTCCCCCGCCCCAGGCGCAGGTGGGGGTGGAGAGCGCAAGCGCCACTCCTCGTGGGGCATCGGCTCTGTCCTCATCCGCCCCCCCCCCCATGCGTCGAGTGCACCCCCCCGCCCGCGGTCGCGGCCTCTCGCCGCCTCCGTTGGCGGGCGGTCCCGCGTCGATGCCCCCGCGCGCGAGGAGCTGCGGTGTCCTCGTGCGGAGGAAAAAGCTTGAGCAGGTGTTTGCGCTCGTCACCCAGCGCCCTCCTCCTCCTCCTCCTCCTCCTCCTCCTCCTCCTCCTCTTCCCCCCTCTGATGCTGCTCCTGCTCGGCGGCGGCCTTCCGCCCCTCCAACTGCTCGGGCGCGCGCCGCTCGCCGCTGCGGACCCGTGGGTGGGCGAAGGTGGTTGCTTCTGCGAGGGAAGTTCCTCCTCCGCCGCCTCCTCCTCCCCCTCTTCCTTTCTCCTTCCTCCTTATGCTCCTTCTCCTTCTCGTCGTCCTCCTGTCCCTTGTACTTGCCCTCCTCCCGCTTCGGCTGCCGCTCCTCGCTTCGGCCTTGTTTCCTTGATCCCCCGCTTTTGTTTCCCACTTCACTTCGTCGCCCTCTTTCTCCTGCAGCTGCTGCTGCTACTGCTACCCCCTCCCCGTGTTCCTGTTCATCTTCCTTCTGCAGCTCCGCTTCCGACCGTTTCATTATTCTCCTCCTCCTCCTTCGCCTCCTCCTCCTCCGCCTCCTCGTCCTCCTCCTTCTCCGCATCCGCCCTCCTCCTCCTCCTCCTCCTCCTCCTCCTTTTCCTCCTCCGTCGTCTTCCTCCGCCCCCTCGTCTTCCTCAGTCGCCTCGTTTTCTCCTGCTGCTGCTGCTCCTCTTCCAGCTTTACCCCGTCCTTGTCATACAACCCTTCGGTCTACCGGTGGCGGATCATATGTTTGTAAGCCATCGCAGATTGCGTCTTCCTTCGCCGTCTTTCTCTTCATTCCGCCTGCAGTCCGTCCTCCTCAGTCCTCCTCCTCCTCCTCCTCTTCCTCCTCCTCCTCCTCCTCCTTCGCCCCCTCCTCCCCGTCCTCCTTCTCCTCCTCCTCCTCCTCCTTCTCCTCCTCCTCTTCCTCTTCCTCCTCTTCTCTCCCTCCTCCTCTCCTCCTCCTCCTCCTCCTCCTCCTCCTCCTCTTCCTCCTCCTCCTGTTCCTCCTCTTCCTCCTCCTCCTCCTCCTCCTCCTCCTCCTCCTCCTCTTCCTCCTCCTCCTTCTCCTCCTCCTCCTCCGCTTCTTCCACATCCTTGTCGTTGTCGTCCTCCTCCTTTTCCGCCTCTACTTTCTCTTGCCTCCTCGCACGCCCCCTCAGGCTTCGGGCGCGGCGACACAACGCAACAGGACATTTCGAGCCTCGTCTTCGTTGTTTTTCTCCCCTCCACCCCCCAATTAGGATCGCCGTCCTCCTGGCGGACTTCCTCTTCTTCTGTTCCACTCTTGCCCGTTTTCCTCAATGAGCCGTATCGTCTCCTCGCCGCCTCTGCACTCGTCCCCGTCCTCCTCCTCCTCCTCCTCCTCCTCCTCCTCCTCGATGCCGCCCGCGCGCTTTTTCGACGGCCAAGGGGCCGAGGCACGCACGCGCGCGGGCTCGCTTGTACTGTCTTATTATGCATGCCACGGCGCGCCCGTCCTGCCGCGCAGGCGCGGGCGCCTCGAGTTCGCCCCTCCTCGCTCCACGCGCCTCGAGCTCGCAATTCCTCGCTCCTCGCTCCTCGCGCCTCCTGCCCCTCCTCGCTCCTCGCACCTCGCTCCTCCTCTTCCTCCTCCCCCTCCTCCTCCTCCTCCTCCTCCTCCTCTTCGCTGCTCGCTCCTCGCTCTTCCTCCTCCCCTCCTCCTCCCTCCTCGCTTCTCGCTCCTCGCTCCTCCTCGCTTCTCGCTCCTCGCTCCTCGTTCCTCGTTCTCCCTCCTCCTCCTCCTCCTCCTCCTCCTCCTCCTCCTCCTCCTCCTCCTCTTCCTCTTCCTCCTCTCGCTCCTCCTCCTCCTCCTCGCTTCTCCTCCTCCTCCTCCTCCTCCTCCACTTTCTCCTCCTCCTCCTCCTCCTCTTCTCCTCTCCCCTCCTCTCCCGCTCTCCTCCTCCTCCTCTCCTCCTCCTCCTTCCTTCGCTTCCTCCTCCTCCTCCTCCGCCTCCTCCTCCTCCTCCTCCTCCTCCATCCTACTCCTCCTCCTCCTCCTCCTCCTCCTCCTCCTCCCTCCTCCTTCTCCTCTCCCATCCTCCCTCCTCCTCCTCCTCCTCCTCGTCCTCCTCCTCCTTCCCTTCCTCCTCCTCCTCCTCCTCCTCCGCCTCCTCCTCCTCCTCCTCCTCCTACTCCTCCTCATTCTCCTCCTCCTCCTCCTCCTCCTCCTCCTCCTCCTCCTCCTCCTCCCCGCTCCTTGC